AATCTCATTTCGGAAGAATGTTCTAGAATTCCAACGTGTAGCTTCGCGATTGGATAATGCTAATAACCCTCTGTATGTGGATTGGAAGACTGTAATGATGATTTTGTTCCCAGTAAAAACTATAAATACCTGACAATTTTGTACTATGATTGACACTTTTTAGAATAATATTCCTTTCATTAGTCTTCTGTCTTCTTATTGCGACTTGGAAGGGTTTTGGTGTTCTAGTGCTCTGTTGTACGCGGTATATCGAGAAAAATCAGTTTCAAGATATAACAGTTACAATCAGTTTTGAAGAAAATTCTATTTAATTGTTTAAGATCATATGGGTGAGTATGAATGAACAAACAAATTATTCTTTTAGTCAAGATCACCTCCTACATGTTCTTCTTTACGTTTGTCTAATAAGATAACTTTAAACGAAGTTCTATATTTGTCGTTTATTTAGTTGTGTTTGTCAAGTGTCAAAAGTCTGTACAGCAATTAAAAAAGTCAGAAGAATGTAATAATTCGAAAAGTTTGTGAGATTAATTAAATATATATGTCAAATGGATATTGAGATGGTTGAGAAGATTTGTAGCTTAGGTAGATGATTTTGATGTAGTTTTATTCTTTGACACAACCAAACGATCCAACTCAGGAAAATAAAACTTTATCAAAGTCAAATGAATGTTTTCTTGTCTTTTTTTTCTGTTAAAATTGTAAGTTCGATATGCCAGAAAACAGTTCTATTTAAAACCTTTAAGGTTAGATAATAATAAATTTATACTATGGTAGCTATATGTCTCTTTAACATTGGTTGATTCATTTAGTTGTAGACAAATATGTTCATTATCTAGCCAGTGATGTACAGTAGTTCAAATTCGTTTTGAACGAACTCCTTAAATGTTATTTTGGAACTGATCTTTTTAAAAGTACCTTATCTATGAGATAATTGTCAACATTCGCATAACTATTTGAATTCCATTCTAATAAGCAGATGAGGTGGGACACTTTCATAGTATTTGCCTGTTGAATTTCAACTTCATTTAATCATCATTACTAATAATAACATATATGTAATATCATAATGAGTTGGTAAATTTTCTGATGTTTCCTGATTCATTGTAAGCCACTTCACAGAATAAAGAACCAAATTAAATTAACTCAAGTTTAAATAATACAAACGAATGAAGCAAAATCATTTAGTGTGATCAATCAAAAAATAGGTCTGATCAAGTCACTGTCATGTCATTCTGGTAAAGATGATTAATGTGAGGCATATTTGTATGTGTCTATGTGTGCTAATGGATGAAAAAATGTGATACTTTGTGATGCGAAAGGATAGAGTTGAATTTGTATGTACGATAATGGTGTGAGATGTAAATAGAATCAGACATGATAGTTCGGATAGATAGTAAATCCTTCTTTCCTATTGAGGGTAGTAGGATTAAGCATTATATGAAAATCTTCATCAATTCGCCTTTCTTTCTAGTTGGAAAAGCCTTTTTGTATTATTTTAATATTTTCAATATTGATTTGGTGGTTATTGAAATTGTCATGAACTGCTATTAACGAGTTAATTTAGAGTCTTTCCAGTTCTATAGGATTATTAGGCGGTTTTTTTGTATACTTGAGATGTTCTTTGGTTCGTGTCAAGATTTCATGAGATGACTCTCCAACATTAAAGGCATCACGATCGGAACATCCTAACTTGTAGACTCTATTTCGTATAGACATAGAGAGGATTTTTTCTTTTATACGATTTAAAGCATTTCGAAGGGTGTTCTTTGTTTGGTAGTTCCGGCGTCCAGTTCCTAGCAGGAAGAAGCTGGATGATTTTAGTTTGAATATGTCTGGGAGTATCAGTTCCCTAAAGATTACACGTATACCAACTAGAACATAACGCAGACACAATATTTTCTATCCCAACATTATGTACACGATATCTAGTCAGTTAGACTAGTGACAACATTCTAACTTGATAGATAATCAGCACTAAAAGTACTAAAGAAACGTGAGATTGATCATTATAATGGGAATTACGTATTTTGATTGTTTGGTCAATGATAACTTTAAAGTGCGTAAATGCTAAATGTAGTTTACAAGTTTTTATTGTCATAAGTTATGAATAACCTACAAAGTTTAAATGCCTTGTTATCAATAACGATATGATGCCTTTCAAACTCGATGTAACAACTTGGTGATTTTATTTACCCAAATAATTTTTTTTCATTTTTCACTACAGTAGGTATATCAGTTTACTAACTGAGCTATAAATATGTATTATTTAGCAAAGATGAATGGTGGCTAGCAATGGAATCCATGACGCATGTTTCGTCCTGGCCATTATATGTACCCACATCTTAGTGTTGATATTTAATCCGGGACTCAAACCACAATAACGTTCACTTCAAACACTATCGTGTTATCTACTTAACTACTGGTTCCAGATAACCACTAGCTTGTACAATAGGGTGAAGTTATAATTCATTTTTGTATTATTTCTTTAAATCTTCCCATTGATGTTTAGGTCTACAATATTATATTATATATTATTTAGCCTTTTTTACATCCTCTTTCATTCTGCTATTTATTGGTAACAATAATAAGAATATAAGTACTTTAGTAATTGAATGTTTACACATTTTATAGAATTCGTTTTATAATTAAGACCAAGGTCAACTTATGTTAACGGGTGTTTAAATAAAATAAACCAGTATCTATGTCAAAAGATCATATGATGATATAAAGTGAAATTTAAAACTGACTAAAACTATTTATTGCTTAATTAATCATAGTTCCAGTGATACTAGGCTAATGTAATCAAACAGATAATCAATTATGAAACTAACTATTATGAACTTAATCAAGTAGAAATTAAGAAGTATAACCATAAAAGTAAATAACAATGGTAAGTACTAGAGTGAATAGTTTATTAGATCATAAATGGTTGAGCTGAGAGATCGTAGATAATCATAGTGATTGAACTTCTCTGTCTAGTGTGTTATAAAGTCCATTTGATTAAAGAGTGTTTCTATTCATTCATTTGTCTATGAAAAATGGATCTATTGAAATGCTTGATGTACTTACATCTTAATATTTTTGAAGGACTGAATTTCTGAGTGATCGGTGTATAATAGTCCATACAATCTTTAATCTTTATTCATGATTAATTGTTAAACTCTACTTTCTATATTGAACATTCATGTGTATTTACAGACTTACTTGTTGATTTTGGTAAACAACAGAAATCTGTCAGATTTTATCTCTATAATGCTCACTTAGTTACTTACTTACGCCTGTTACTCCTAATGGAGCATAGGCTGACGATCAGCATTCTCCAATCCACTCTGTCCTGGGCCTTATTTTCTAATTTCATCCAATTCTTGTTCATTTTTCTCATGTCTTTCTCCATTTCCCGGCGTAATGTGTTCTTTGGTTTTCGCTTTTTCCTTTGGGTTTGAGGATTCCATGTGAGGGCTTGTCTTATGACACAGTTCAGTGATTTCCTCAATGTGTGTCCTATCCACTTCCAGCGCTTCTTCCTAATTTATTCCTCCACTGGGATCTGGTTTGTTCTCTCCTACAGTACGTTGTTGCTGATAGTGTCTGGCCAACGGATCAGAGGTATTTTGCGTAGAGAGCTGTTGATAAACACTTGTATCTTCTGGATTATGGCTTTCGTAGTTCTCAAGGTTTCCGCCCCACACAGTTGAACTGTTTTGACATTTCACTTGATACTGTTTTGCTTGTATCTTCCCATGGAGGTTTAAGACTGCAATTGATCAGTCTGTTATTGCATATATGCATACTGTGCGGATTGCCTCGATATAGCCTTAAGTCACAAGCTTTTTAAGCAAAGATGGATAGTGACTGGCAACGGAATCCAGGATGCACATATACCAGCAAGAGACTGATCAATTGCAGTCCTAAATAACAGTCGGAAGATACAAATAAAGCAACATCAAGCGAATTTAAACTTCACCCCATTGCACAAGTAGGTGGCTATCAAGACTCAGTATCTAAGTGGATAGCGTGACATTTGTATTGAAAATTCTGACCTCGGTGTTGGTTGATAGTTGTTTTGAGTTCCAGATGTTCTTCAGTTGTAGATATGTTGCTCTTGCTTCACCGATCCGCGCCTTCACATCCTCATCAGATCCACTATGTTCAATCTTTATAATGCAGCAATAACAATATATTCACTGGGGTAGCTGACCATTGACCACTGTGTTAGTCTATGGTAACTCAGGCGTACTTGTTATCGAAATCGTCTAGGATGGAAAATTAAACGTCTCCATTAATTGGTGACTATAATTGATTAGTCAGTCAGCAAATACAATAGTGAGATTTGAAGAAATAGATGATTAGTTTAAATCTCAATGTAAACATCAACATGCGAATGCAGGTACTTTCAACTGACGAATCTTGAATGGAAAGAAACATACATTTCTGATTCCGGTACTGGTCACTATCTAAAACTATTATATTATATATTCATTAACCCATTATTAGAACTAACATTTTCCTATTCTTAATCTCAATCTATATGTAAGTATACGAGAATAAACTGGTATAGCAACAACCAATCTCGATTATGGTTAATTTTGGTTAAGCCCTTTTATTAACTTAAAAATGTTATTCGAACAGTAACAGCTCGCATGTTTCTTTTGTACTATTATAATCACTACCATATCTGTATAAAAGTTTACTGTTGATCAGATGACAGTCTACGCCTATATATATCTCTTCAGCTAAAATACTAATATATATATACTTGAATCTTATTATTAGCCTTTGCCTTGCATAGCTCCGCCTTATTCGATTTGACCATAAATTTGGCTTTATATTCACTCGCTCATGTATACCTATTCGCCTTTCTGCTTCAAATTCTCTTGATATGTTCATAACTTTGTTATCTTTGCTATAGGCTAATAAACTGTTGTTGTCTCTTCTAATTGCTTTCTTTCTTCATCATTTTCAAATGATTAGAAAGTTATTGTATTTCAGTTCTTAAAATGAGAAAATCATTTATTATTATCATTCGCTTATGTCCTAATACGCTTAGATATTATAAAGGAAAAAAGACCCTGATGAGAATCATTTTATCTGTGTTAATACCCATTGATACTACTACTACTACTACTACTACTACTAATAATAATAATAATAATAATAATAATAATAATAATAATAATAATGACATAATTAGGTCATATGCTCAAGAAGAAAATAAAACTGAAAAAAGAGATAAAAGTGGAAATGATTTTCATTTTACTTCAATAAAGAGTGTTTCAATCTATTCAAAAATGAACAATATGTAGAATCAATATAAGTTGAGGTAAACACTTATAAATTCAGATTAATGAATGTGTGTATTTGAATCAACAATCACTATGAGTAGCAAAGTATTCATAAGATAATGAAATGTATATTAAAAAGAATTAGGTTATTGTTATCTGTCTTGTATTGAGTCATGTTTACTCCATGCATGGTTTACAAGATTGAGCTATTAAGTTATCACTAGTTCATAAAAAACAAACAAACTCGATAGCTCATACAATTGGCATTTAGTATCAATAAAACAGAAACCATTTACTTCATGTTAGCAATCAACACTGTCGTTACCAATGAAGTTCATGTGTGTCGAATATGAGGCAGTCACCTACCAAAGGCAATGGAAGATGGTTTCCCAATATCTAGAATTGATTGAATCTAAAAATGAACATCACTGGATGTTTCGTTCTAGTTCAGAACTCATATTCAATAAATAGGTAAGACTTCATACGAAAATGAATTGAATATTTCTGATTCTTAGAGCGATTACCACACCATTAATTCAATGAATTGAAACTTATAGTTTTACAGTTTCATATCCAGTGAAACTCTGTTAAAAGATTAATCTTGATTAAGTGTTCAAGTAAAAAAAAACTGATTGAATCTTGATTAAAACTTTTAACTAGAACTTAAGGAGTTAGAAGTGAAAAATAATTATCAATGAGCGCACGGTCATTACTGAAATAAGTAGCTTGTGAAAATGCACTAAATTTTTTCCAAAAAGCACCATCCTTGACTTTTGTTGAAAAGAAACAATAAAGACTAACAGAGATTCGCATGATTGTCACGAATTGAGAAACGAAACAGCGATTAACTTTCTTAGAATATTGATTAAATATTTTCACATTTGTTTTAAATGATAAAGAATAGCTGGTTCTTAAGTATTTATCTCCTTGATATGGATTAATACCAAAGGACTAAACGATCATAGTAATTGTCACTACTCAGTAATCAATCAACTATAAATATTTCAGCCCTACAAAAGTTCAAATGTCTCCTTAGTAGCTCGACGTTACGGCTTTAAACTGTGAAGTTGGATAATGGCGATTTAAATCCCAGTGAGAGGATTAAATTCTTTTGAGATTACAGAAATATCTTTTTGACGAGTACAAACTAGTACAAAATCCATGTGCAATATTACCTAATGAATATCCTTAAACGGAACCTCAAGGGCTCGGAAAGATAAGGACACTCGTCGATGCCTAATCGTCGTCTCTGCCTACTCTCCCAATGACTGCGGCTCAGATGATGTAAACGAAGAGTTTTACAGAAAGCTCTCCGACCTTCTCCGAAAAGCTAGGCGCTCTGATGTAATAATAGTGGCTGATGACTTTAATGCTTAAGTAGGTAAACTAAGCAACAAAGAAAGACACCTGGGTGGATGTTAGGGTTTCGTGGCTCAAAGAACAGATAACGTCGACCGTTTGTTGCCGCAATGCTGAGATAGCCACCTGTTTCTTGCAAACACTAACTTTAAGCATAAGGAAAGACATCTCTTGACATGGCGACACCGAATTCGTATCAACGCTTGACTCAAATAGATCCCATCGCTATCAGCCACCGGTGGAGGGGATCGATAAAGCGAGCGCGTATTTGTCTGACTCTTACTGGACGCAGGAAAAACGCTGCAAGAAAATCTCTTAGGATCCTACTTAATGATAATCAAGCTAAGAATTTATTTCAAGAACAACTAGAAAAACAGTTAGGCAGCCATGTAAGTGATGCTCACCACAAGACAGCGTGGAATGACATCCGAAATGTTGTGGAAATTGCAGTGATATATGCTAGTACAGTAAACCATAAGGTTAGGGAGAAACACTGCATCTCACCAGCATCAACCGCACTGATGGATGCCTGGAAACTCATCCCATCTGGCTCTGAACATAAGGAAGAGCGGAGTCAGTTTAAGCGCAAGTTGACAAGAAGCCTATGCAATGATCGTGAACAGTGGTGGGTAGCGAAAGCAAGAGAGATGGAAAAGATAGCGGCAATAGGTAAAAGCAGACAACTGTTGAGACTCGTTAAGGAAACCGGCATTAGGAACCCCAACTGTTAGCGAAAGTATCTCAGAAAATGATTTACGTATTATTCATTCTCAATCGAAGGGATTGAATCGATAGGCAAAACACTTTAGGGATCAGTTCAACTGGCCTTCAGCCACACTTCGGTTTCCCACGATCTCCAGTCGACCTGAATGGCAAGTTAATTTAGGTCCTCCGACTGTTTATGAAGTTGAAAAGCTATAGGAAGTCTGAAGCGAGGGAGAGCAGCAGGCCCTGATAGGTTTACTCCTGAGATTTTTAAGGATGGTGCTCCAGTATTAGCAGTGAGATTAACTGAGGTCTTAGGTAGAATTTGGGAACTGAACGTAATCTCATCTGACTGGTCTCAATCAATGATTGTGCCAGTCTATAAGAAAAGACAAAAGTCCTCTTGTGACAATCACAGAGGAATGAGTTTGACAAATGTAGTGTCTAAAATATTAGCTTCAATAATACTTCGACGCTTAAGCAAAGCTCGTGAAGAGCAGACTAGAAAAAATCAGACTGGTTTTCAACCTGGACGACGTTGTATAGACCAGATATTCACACTACGTCAGGTTCTAGAACACAGACACACATTCAGACTCCCCACAATCGTAGTATTTCTTGACCTTATGGCGGCATTTGACTCGGTTGATCGTGGGGTACTGTGGTAGTGTTTGTCACTGAAACGAGTACCGAAGAAGTACATTAACCTTATACATGCTCTCTACTCGAATACAACTGGTCTAGTGAGAGCTTATGACGAACTGTCATTAGAATTGATTACCTCAAGTGGTGTTTGTCAGTGCTGTCCACTCTCTCCATTCTTGTTTAAGTTTATCGTAGACATGCTTTTAGATATAACACTTTCCTCATCTAAATTTTCAAGGGTTGAACTTTTACCAGGAGACTCACTTGTTGACTTCGAATATTGCGATGACATAGTTGTATTTGGTGAAGACGCTGACAGAATGCAGAGTCTTCTGATCACTCTAAGCAACAATGTGGGCATGTTTGGGATGCGATTCTACCCCTCGAAATGCAAAATATTGCTTCAGGATTGGATTGCATTGACACCCGAACTAATGATAGGGATTGAAGTAGTTGAGCGTGTTGACCGCTTTGCTAATCTTGGGATTCTCACCAGTCCTTGTGGTCTGGTGTGTGATGAAATCTCAGCACGGATATGGAAGGCTGGACTAGCTTTTGCCAACTTGCATCATTTATGACGTGAGGTAGATATCCGTCTACCAACCAAAGGACGTGTTTACTGCGCATCAGTTCGTTCCATCCTACTTTATGGTAGTGAAACATGGCCGGTAAGAATAGAGGATATTCGTAGGCTACTAGTATTCGACAATAAGTGTCTTCGAAACATTGCTCGTATATCCTGGGTCCATCGAGTATGTAATGCAGTTGTTAGAAAACGGGTACTGGGTTGGGAAGGCAAACCGATTGATGAAGTAGTGCAAATTCATCAGTTGAGATGACTTTGACACGTGTTACGTATACCCGTCCACCGACTGCCCTGACGTGCAATGTTTTGTGGTGTAGGGCTAGGAGTAGGTTGGGAGAAGCTAGGGACGACCAGACCAAAACATGGCACAAGTCCATGAAGTCAGTGACAAGTTGGCTGAGTCATGTTGGTAGGTGTAGACTACGTGGTTGGTATCCGCGAGATGATAGCAACCGATGGTTAGAGACGTTGAGTGACATGGCTCATTGTTTGCAATGGCGCAGGTTCATCCACTCTTTGTGTTCTCCCAAATTCTAATCTTCTGAATTCTTCGTGTACCTTTCTTTTTTCTCTTTCCAAATTTGTTTCACTGTATTATACTCCTTGAATAATATCTTCAAACCCTAATGATTACTGCTTATACCCTTACTACCTCTACCGCTATGGGATTTGAATCGACCACTGCATCTCTGTGCTAATGTGGTATGTCAACTCGAACTGATGTACGTCCATACGAAATTGTACGTTGTTACTGACTGAATGAATATATATTTAATTCTCTAACAAATGGAAAATGCACCTGACTTAAAAGTTTCTGCAAGCATCAAATGAATTTTAATCATAACTTTCTGTAAATGGTAAATTAAACATTTACAAAGAAATTATCATTAGCTTTTAATAAACTGATACCATATGAAATTACATCTTCTGTTAGATCGATATTATTTTTCTTCTTTTTGTTCCAGAGTGAACATGAACTCCGGGGTACAGGTACATCTATCTGACAAGTCCTAAGTAGGACAAAACGCATGTCCTAGATTCCACAGTTATCCACCATCCATCTTTGCTTATTAAGCTTGTGACTTAAGACAATATCGAGACAATACTCACAGGATGCACATATACCAACAAGACATTAATCAAACGCAATCCTAAACAACAATTGAAACATACAAGCAAACAATACCAAGTAAATTAACATATAAACGTTTGTCTTAATTCATTAATATTCATTTCCAATCAATAAAACCTTGAACACATTTGTTTGCTGAGGAGTCCCATACTAGGACAAAACAACTGTCCAATGCTTCCAGATTTTCTATGGTGGTCTAGCTTTAATTATCTCATGAATCCAACTAGTAAATTATTCATTATTTCAATAGTTGAGATCATGAGTCAAGTGAAGCTAGACCACCATGGAAAACCTGAAAGCAATGAACGGCCTTTTTGTTCTATTGTGGGACTCCTCAACAGTATGGATCCACAAACCCGACTCACGAGATTCGAATCCAGCTTCAACTGACTCATGATCTCAGCTATTAAAATTATTATTATATCCACAAAAACCCTTTCTGATAATAATAATAATAATAATAATAATAATAATAATAATAATAATAATAATAATAATAATAATAATAATAATAATAATTTGTCAATCATTTTATATGTGGAAATTTTGAAAATAAATGACTTATATATTCAATATTCTATAATAACGTAATGT